AACCATAAATATATATATATATATATATATATATATATATATGTATTTACTAAAAAGAATATACTTTATATCCTAGTTTAATTTAATGGCCATTCACTTGTATGATGAAGTATTTTTACGTTACTAATCAATTATAATTCAATATTAATATGATTTTTTAAGTTATTTAATAACATGATAATTATATACACAATAATTTGTAATTAGATGATAGTGTAAAATGAATATATAATTTATTTTCTCTTATTAGTCCTTCATCCTATTGTTAATATGTGTAAAATAATTTTACATGAATGATATATATATATATATATATATACATATATATATATATATATATAAATTAAGCTCTTTATTCTTTAAATAAAAATTATTAATATGAAGGGACAAAATATGTATAGTTGAAATTTAAACGGCAGAAGTTCACGATCCTTGAATGTCACAGGAGATGAGAAAAAACCTAGGAAGTTTATTTTGAGCTATTTTTCTTCCGGTAAAGAGTGATATATATGCATGAAAAGAAGGAAAAGGAATGAAATTTTAAAAAGAAAAATACTCATTATTCATATATTTTCTTTTACATTTTACTTTCAGCTCATTTTCTTTTTTCTTCATTTTTCATTCCATCATATCTATTATTTTCACTACAAAAAAATTATTATATAGTGACACACACCTTATAGTAACACTATACATGTTACTAAAAATTACTTTTACCCATACAATAACTACAATATATGTTGGTATATTATTAAAAAGTGTGGGTATAGGCTATAGTGACACAAAAAATATATTGTTAAATTTCATTCAAAATCAATATTAAAATTGTGTGTAACTATATGTCAAATAGACATATACCTACATATATTGTACCTATAATAACACTTTTTGTATGTTATATATTGTACCTATAGTGACACTTTTTGTATGTTATTGTATGTAACATTTCTTGTAGTGTTTCTTTTTCTATTTTTTTTTTGTCTCTTATTCCCACCCAATCCATCCTATTTTTGGATTGTATAATAAAAGAAAAGTTTACTGCAAAGACAGATAAAATTAACGGTGGTTCTCCTTTAGTCTTTGGCACACTCAAACAAAAAAAAAATATTACAACCATGAACTTGAATAAAAAATGCATTGAAGAAACTCCTCTGGAAAAAAAAATAGACGAACTGTTGAAATTTTGTGGATTATCAGTGTATAATTATTGGATAAGTTTCTTACCATAAAAATCATTTTTGCAGTATTTTTAATTTATGAATATTTGTTAATTGAGTTTATATAATCTGGTGTGTATATGATGAACCGAGCCTTCAATTGATGTCCAAAAGAGAGGTAAATGTATTATCTATATATATATATATATATGGTTGTTATAAAATTATTGTTTTAGAGTTTATTTAGATACACGCTATAAATATTTTTGAAGATTTATATATTGAAAATAAAGAATATTTTTCAATAAAAAAAATTCTTAAAAATATTTTTAAACTTATATCTAAATAAATTTTTAAACAATTTTGGAAGACCCATGTGATAAACCTGTAGCCAATAAATAGGGAGAAATTCTCTCTCATTTTTTTGCATACGGTTTCGGATATTGATCAACAATCATGAAATCAAGATCTCTAATGCTAAATCAAGATCGTCAATATGGACTAATTTATTATATGATATGAACATCATAATTGAGCTGTGTATTTTGTAAAATCTATCAATAAGTATCATATGTGTATGTTGTGGCTGTTTTGTGTTAGAATAATGTTAAAAAAATTATAGTTGATAAACTTTATCCTTTTCCTTATTTTTATTTTTGGCCAAATTAGACCAAATAATTTAGATTTTTTTTATCATATAATGTTTGTGATGTTGTGTGCCATGTACTTTCAAAAATTAATAAGTAAATTTTGAAAAGGTCAAGAACTTTGTGTGTGTTTAATCTTCACCTAATTAATTAAATATTATTCTTGTTCGGAAAAAATATGTTTGTCTTAGTTGCAATTTTAAAAAAATGTTTTGAGGATTTTATTAAAATATTTATTTCTTTAATAATGTACCCAAAAAAAAGAAACAACCAAGTTAATTGATTTTTTTATTTTGAATAATAATTGTGAGTTCCTTTTTACAGCAGTCTCTATTGAATTTCTAAAATTAAAATATTTACTTTAGATTTCTCTTTTGTATTTTTTTATTTATATTTTTACTAAATCCTAAAAGAAATATCAATCTCAAACATTCAAATATAATTAATTGTCTATATTTCAATTCTTACATTGACAAAACTTCCCATTAATTTGATATCATACCTATCTTACTGCAGCTAAAGCCAAATGCATGTCCACAAGAACTTTACATAGTTCTCAAGCCCGTGTCATCAAAATTAGATTGTACTCCAATTCCATTTATTATTAGTGTTTATTTGGATAATTTTTTTTATAAATGCCCCTAAAATAAAAATAAAATAAAGCTTTTCATAAACGAAAACTAATTTAAGTATTAGTTTATTTATTGAAGTTTGCTCTTATTAATTTTTTCAAAATTTCATTTTTAATTTATATATGAATTAATTTTAATTTATAAAAAAAATCATTTCATTTATTTTTCTAAAAACACTTTTAGAAAGATTTATCTAAACATACTTATCATTACAAACAGTTGGGTGTAACAAGCCTGAGCAGAAGAAGTTCTAAAGTAGACTACTAGAAATTAACAATTCCTATCAAGGGATCAATAACACAAATTAACGACTGATTTTAGTATAACACTTGAATATAAGTTTAGAAGTCGTGTGTTTTTTAGAATTTTTTAAATTAAAATTATTCTTTATTTTTAATAAAAAAAATTTAAAACACTTCTATAACTTATATTCAATAACATATTATAAATCAAAACCAACGTGAATGGATCCAAAATGAAATTAACAAGTCCAAGATACTCAGAAACATATAACTTATTGTACTATATTCCATTTTCACGTTCTGCATATTAAATTAAAGAAATTAATGAACATGAATACATCCAACCAGGAAGCTGCCAGATCGAGGAATAAATTAAAAAGAATGTACTTGGATCCACAGGATATAACATGATTACCCTTGTATTCTGCTGGTAAAATCAGTGTCTTATCCAATCATTCTTTTGTTCGATATTTTTTTCCTCAAAATAGCACTTATAGGAAGTTGCTCAGCTATATGTTCTATATTTGGTGATGAGAATCTTTAGGATATAATGACCAATGAATTAGCCTCAATACTTTGTAGAAATGTTATATCAAATTCATGTCATTACATAAAGCCACCAAGACGGTAAAAAGAAGCTCGTATATGTATAATTCATGAATTAATTACTGGTATCGTTGGATTCAATTTGTATTATAGAGGGAAAATTATCATCTGAAGATAAACAAACGTAAAGTATTTGGATGAAGGATCGATTAGTTTAGTTGAGGTGGTAATGATGATGATTCAATGATTTATTTAAGATTTATTTCTTATGTATTAAATTTCATAGCACGTTTGTGCAGCCAAAAAAAATTCATAGCACGTTATAAGTCGATGTGCCTATGCATAAATGATGACCGGGAGCGGCCAAAGTATATTATATAAGTGCAATAAAAACCTTTTGGTATGTTTGATATGTGGCATTATTGTTTGAAAGTGGAAAGAGAAATGATATGAAATTAGTTTTAAACTTTAGAAGGAACATATGATCTTGTAATTAATTATATATACATGGTGGAAAGTATATATAATTTTTATATATACGAGAATAATTACAAGATATCTTGTAATAATTTTTATACTCAATTTTAATACTTAAATTATATTTTGTAATAAAATTATTGTGATTGTTTTATTATTGTTGTCATCATTATTATTACTATCGTTATCTCACATCATTGTTCCTATTATCATTTTTATTATTATTTTTTTTTATCATTACCATCACTACTATTATAATTACCATCATATCTATTACCAAAATGACAATGGTTTAATGATTATAATGATGGATGTGTTGCTGATGTGAAAGCGTTAATTATAGTCACATCACAATAAATATAATTATAAAGAATATTGGTGGTCACCACTCACCAATATTCTTCCCAACCTTAATGAAACAAGAAACACTCAAATTGACCCCTAAATTTGTAAGATATTGTCATATTGATTATTGAAATTAATATATATATATATATATATATATATATAAAGATAAAAATAACATTAAGTAATTAAATATAAAAATTTATTTTGTCATTCTGAAAATTTTATTTATAAATTTCTTAATTTTAGAGATTAATACGACGAAAGGGTTACCAAATCACAACTCTTTATTTTTATTTTATTTTTGCCTCTTCACTTTTCTCTTTAGATTTTTTTCTT